TTTGCACTAGTGGGCCTCTCTTTTTATGAAGCTACTGGTTGGGTAAGGCTTAGAGCTCTCAGCTTTACCTACGCAGTTTTATCTTATTCGCTATCAGCTTTACCTAAGCATCAGCTTCATAAATGGCGAAGTCGTTTTGCTTAAAGCCCGTCTGCAGTAGTGGGCTGGAGAATAAGTTTTTATTGAGGGAGGTTCACCGGAATTTACACACCCATGAAGAAGCATGTAGGCACGTTGATGCCTTGCGCTCGTCCGCATTCATCCTCGCAAGCATTGATTCATTCATATTTTTTTGGTTTTTAATGCTTTGGTATATGAGTATAAATGGTTTTTTTAACGTGTGAATTCTCGGCTCATGGCGTGTTTCGTATACCATGCAATATTGATTCATAAGTACCAACTGTATTTTGTACTATACCAGTGAACCGCATCGCTGAGTTTTCTTGGTTTTACTAGCATTTTTTCAAACTCAGCGAAAGTCGAGAATATGATTCGTAATAGGGTTTTTTGGAAAAGTCTCCGAGAGGTCGATGGCTAGCCCATGGGATTTGACAGGTCATCAGGGGATCAAACTCAGCAAAAATAAAGAATATGATCCTGGTAGGGTTTTTTAGAAAATTTGCGGCGACAAAGTCCTCTGCAGAGTGTTGATGGCTAGCCCATGGGATTTGAAAACCACAGGTCATCAGGGGATAAGCCGAAATGAAATTTTTACTGTTTTTACGTGGAATTGCCAGGTTTTGTTTAGGGAAAATTTAGTTTTAAAATTTGATTATTCACAAAATTATTCGTATGCATGGGAGTTAAACAGTCACCGTCAGCTGTTCTCTTAGCAATCCTTGGTAGCTGAAGCCATCGAGAACTCTGCCTGGGAAATGGCCACAATTAGTAATATTCTGCTTTTGGGACTTAGGAAGTATTTGCCTTTGGTTGAAAGTTAAGTATAACGGAGTAGGAGGGATAAGAATCCGGAAGGAGGGGAGGGAGGGGAGCGGGGATTGTTTTTTGTGCAATATTATTAATTTTGTATGTAATAAATGCGATTTTCTGCCACTCCGTCAGCAATTATTGGTAGATGGATAGGGGAGGGAGTGAAGAGGAGAGGTTGAAATTTTTGAACAGTTTCTGCAACACATTTTTCCAGTTACCAAAGGAAACCTTCATCGCATTCACTTCCTGTGAAAGGTAAAGGCACTTAGAACTAGCAAAAGCCTAAAAGGACTAAATATCAGCTTTCTAGCTTTTCTGGTTCTCAATCTGAAAATCTGGGACAAAACACCCAGTAGTTTGTCTAACGATGGGTATTTATCTCATTCTGGCAAACCTGTTATCGAGAGTTATTCTCCTTTCAAGGATTTCATAAAAGCAGGGTAGCTGTGGCTTTAAATTATGTTTCTTGCATTGTATTCGATGGTATTTTTGTCCCACGTCTTTCTGCCCTTCCCCTCCTCCCTCCCCTTCCCCTACTTTGATC